TTCGAATTAACTAATAAAAAAATGGTCATTAAATAATTATATGACTTCTCCGCAATTTGGCGCGATAAAATAATAATGTAATTTTATAGAATGCGCATAACAATAGTAACTAATATGAAAAAACTATACAAGTGCAACACAAATATAAGAACTAGGACAATAATTCGAATTGAAAGCATTGAACAAAGGTAGTAACCATATTGACATTATTATTCATACATAGGTAAAGTCATACATTACAACTATCTTAATTAGTTATCAACTTTACCTAATAATTCAATATTATAAAATTAATATTGAACCAATAATCAAATAATTCTTTTATATAAAATCATTGAAATTCATTAACTCAATAACACTTTTTTCGTATTAAATTAATTGATCAATTTGATTTATAAATGATAGATTAAGTAAGTTAACAGTGTCGGTGGATAAAGTTTAGGTATGACATGATTGCTCACATGAGTACTCTTATCTCTGACAGAGTATCAAGGTCCATTTTGATTTGGCGTTATCTTATTGTATCAAAATGGAAACTGACAACTTTCAATTATTTAAACTTAGGGTTATAACCGGGGGAGGAATATATATACTTCTTCAATTATTTGAAAAATCAAATAGAGCTTTTAATTATTAGGTTGGTTCCTATGATTTAATCTATTTATTATCAGTTTAATTTTTTATTCTAGATTCAACTAAAGTTGGTAATTTTAGTCGAAAGTTGGCTAACTTGCTTTGCTGTAAAATTATTTTGTGTAATTACGATAAATTTTATTTGAATTTTATATGTAAAAAAGTATACAATCAATAACTTAAATGATAAAAGCAAATTAACAATAGTAAGCTATATATCTCATTAATCAATCGATAGGCAAATAGTTTAAGGATCATTATCACTCGATAGCTAATTCTCAACATACATATTACTATTGATGTCTGCATTAAATGCATGTTTTCATTCTACATTATGTCCAAATTCATATCTAAAAAATGTACTTCGTAGAACACTATTGCATCTTTTATATGAACTTCATAGCAAATACATGAAATTTACATATATTACGAGGTTAAGAAAAAAATAATAATGTAAAGAGTGTTAGAATTGTATCGTGTCACCTAAATTATATTATTCGTCTAAGCACTTGGAGAAAAGTGTAATGACTGTTTTAAATTTTCATACAATAAAAACAATTTCATCTAATCATAAAATGGAATGTCTTATTCTAAGGTATGCGAATATAAAATCATGATATGAAATTGCAAGATAGATTAAAATTTTATTTGAATCGATCTAAAATTTTTGTGTCATATACTTTTCATAAACATAAATTAAAAAAGTTGTAAAACTATTATAATCTCAATTCTTTACTCAATCTTAACAAATAAATAAAATTTTATAAAATTACATAATAAACTATTACAAAGCTATTGTGATCGGTCTTGTTCACTCACTATAGATGAAAAAGTAGTTTTTTTTATTAGACAATGAAGTAGTAGTTATGAATATAGATGATAAGTAGAATTGATTTAAAGTAATAATAAATATGTTGGTGAGAATGATAAATTTTTAAAAATAATTATGTGTCGTAGGATTTGTAGCTCGGCAGTCCACTTTCATGTTGGAGCAAGAACTAGCATGAAAATCGATCTATTATGACCAGCGCAGTTATTCCTATTTCATTTTCTTCTTCGAAGCCCTTCTTAGAAAACACTCACTACGTTACTTACAAAATCTCAAATCTCTCTCGACGCTGAGAATTCTTTATGTGTCCAGATCGATATATGATTATAAATTTCATTTACCTATGAAATAAATGACAAGTAGATTTATATGGAGTTGTTTCATGGGTCAATTTTTATATTTAAAAATTTTCAAATATAATACTGACTTCCCAAGATATAATTTTTTGGAGAATATGAGATTCTATCTCATGATTGAAAGTAACGTGAAATCACATGTTTAAATATATATATATATATTAATTACTGTTGTTTTGGCACATTTCCAAATTGCACCTTTAATTCAAGCAAAATTGTATTATGCACCAGCCTTGTCAATGAAATTTTAAAAATCTTAATTGAATAACTATTAATGATGGGTAAACTGATAAATTCATTTGCAACTCCATTTTGAAAATCTTACCAAAAAGGTATTTATTTTAATTTAAATACTTACTTTCTTAGTTTATTTTTAATTGTTATATCGTATTTTTTAAATTCAATTTGATTAATTTTTAAAGTTAAATTATATTACATTAATTTGATATCTTAAATAAAAAAATTAAATATTTAATAAGTATATGGTTATTAAAGTTTATTTTTAGAGTCAAATTATAAGAATTTTAATTGATATTTTGTGATATATTTTTTCATCATATTGATACAATCAATATGAATTATGATGAAAAAATATATCACAAAATATCAATTAAAATTCTCATAATTTGACTCTAAAAAGAAACTTTAATAACTAAAAGTGGACAGAGAGAGTATAATGCCGAATAAATTATTGAGTCCGGAGCCTAAAAGGTACAAAATATTAACAAAATTTTAAAACGATATATAAAATTTTATATTAACCAAAATGGCATAATCGCTGCATCAACAACGATTTACTCCACCGGAAAAAGCAAAATCGCTGCATCTGCAGCGATTTTGCACAATGTGAATTTTTTTTAAAAAAATAAAATCGCTACCTAGACACCGATTTTAATTTTTTTAAAAAAAATCGCTGATTTATAATTTTTTTAATTTTTTTTAAAAACAATCGCTACGTATTTTTGAAAATGTGGAAGTCGCTGCCCAGGCAGCTATTTCCAAAAAATTTTTATTTTTTTTAGAATTTTAAATCGCTGCCTAGGCAGCGATTTATTTTTTTAAAAAAATTATAAAATTTTTAAATCGCTGCCTACACAACGTTTTTTTTGAAAAAAGATTTTTTTATAAAATTGTTTTGTTAAAAAAAATTATTTTATAAAATCGCTAAGCGATTTACATATTTTAAAATATATATGACATTGCTGCTTAGGTAGCGATTTAAAAATTTTATAATTTTTTTTTAAAAAAAATCGCTACCTAGGCAGCGATTTTTTTTTTGGAAATCACTGCGTGGGCGGCGACTTCAACATTTTTTTAAAAAAAGGTAACGATTTTATAAAAAAAATTATAAATCGCTGCCTAGGCAGCGGTTTTTTTTTAAAAAAATTAAAATCGCTGCCTAGGTAGCGATTTCATTTTTTTTAAAAAAACATATTTTTCAAAATCGCTGCAGAGGCAACGATTTTGCTTTTTTCGGTGGAGTAAATCGTTGTTGATGCAACGATTTTGCTGTTTTGGTTAGTATAAAATTTTATATACCGTTTTGAAATTTTTGTTAATATTTTATACCCTTTAGGCTCCAGACTCATAAATTATTAGTGTTCTTGATAGAACAATTAAAAAATATTAAATTAATGGTACTTGAGAAATTTAAATTTATAAAAATAAGTAAGTAATAGAAAATATATTTTCAGTATGCTACGAAAAAGAGTTTTTGGCTTAAATCATTTTTCAACTATGACTCAAATTTAATGTACATTCTTATATTATCTAAGGGCCCGTTTGGTCATGTAATATGATATGGAATCAATGAAATTGAAGTTTTGTTTGGACATGTGATATGAAATTTTTGTGTTACATATTTTCTCATAAATATATAAATTTCAGAAGTTGTAAAATTATTAAATAGCCACAATTGTTTATTCAATCTTATCAAATAAAAAAATAAAATTGCATAATAAAGTATTACAAAGGTATTTGTTCTACACTTAAATAATTGTTTCATCTAACTTTAATTTAATAAAAAAAATTGAACATAAATTGTTGTGTAGTAGTTTTTAATATAATCTTCCCACATAGTACGAACAATTTCATCAAGTTGAACTTGCATTTCTCGATCATGTGACTTCAACCAATACATAAATTCTGAATAATTCATACATTATGTTCTGAAGTTTAGAAAGATTACGTAAAGAAATCATTTCAAATATATTAAATCCAACTATTTAGAGAGTTTTTAATAAAATATTGAGGGTATATTATGTATACAATGTTCACATTTTATACCATGTATAAAAATGCTGGAAATAATGTGATATTATGTAGCTGATTAGTTATTAAAATAAAAAATATATAATTACTTTATTGGAAATTTTTGAAGTTGGAGTAGTATTTGTTTTTTTCAAAGAATATTTAGAATTTGAATATATTTTGTATGAATATAATTTAAACCCTCAATTTCAAAAAATTGAAAAGAACCGCCTAATTTGATTAGCTTAACCATGTGAACATATATTCATTTGACTTGACACATTTTTAATTGCGACGTGAGTTTCTTAAAAAAAAAAATAGACAAAAGGATACATCTTGCAACTTTTTTAATAATTCAGGATTTTTTTCACTTATTTAATAAAAGGATATACTTTAGGTTTAGTCATATGATAGGGATAATTTCGGCCAAAAACTCATACAAAAGAAGAAGTAAAAAAAGAGGAAAAATACACAATTACCCCCTAAACTATGATCGAAATCCAGAGACACAATTAAACTAAACTAAGGTCTTATTACCCCTTGAACTTATTTTTTTTTGTGATTTTATATACTTTTTGTCATACGTGGCACACTCCGTGCATCCACACAATTGACGCGTGAGAGATATATAGATATCACGTAAGTAAAAAAAATACAAAAAATTAAAAACAATACAAATTTAAAGACAATAAGACCTTAATTTATCGCATTTTTTCAAAAAAAAAAAAAAGTAAGCAATTTTTATTCTCCTCGAACAAGCTAGAAATCCGCCCATATATAAAAAAAAATAAAATGTAAAAGGGTATAAAAAGGAAAGTAACGAAGATATTCCGCTGCCGCACGCGAGAATCACGTGACACTGACCCTTGAAATTGACAAGCACTACAGTTTCAGTCATCAAACCCTAAATCAAGAAGTCGGAGATTTCATCAAAATCACCGGAAAAAATGGGAGTGGAGAAGGAAGTTATCAGAGCCGGAAATGGCCCCAAACCGCAGCCTGGTCAAACTGTTACCGTCCACTGCACTGGTTACGGTGAGTCCTCTTTCTTTTTTCGCCAAAGAAAAAGATCCATTTTCTTTTCACAAGGGATTAATCGCATCAAACTAGTTAATCTCTAATTCAGTCTGTTTTTATTCTTTATAGATGAATCGGATCTTTAATATAGTTTGATTTTTAGTAAGTACAGTTTTTAGTAGTATTTTTGGTTAATATTGTTTTTATTGTTCTATGCCTGCAGGGAAAGATAGAGACCTGAGTCAGAAGTTCTGGAGGTAAACTGTTTTTTTTTATTTATTTATGAAGTTTGATGCAGGGTTATGTGTAGTATATATCTTTGCTTAATTTTACGTGTAACAGCACTAAGGATCCAGGCCAGCAGCCTTTCTCTTTCAAGATCGGCCAAGGCAAAGTTATCAAAGGTACTTACGACTCCTGTATATCTCGATTTATATGATTTGTTTTTCCTAGTTTATGCGTTAGTATGTTATTATAAGTAATGCGTGATAATGTATTCAATTGGACAATTAATTTGGAAAATTTAGTAGTCTTATATTGGACTAACCATGAATGGAACTTATAGTAGTGATCCCACTACTTTTCTTATTGATTTCAATTGTCATTTTAAATTTCTCTCAAACCCAATTTCTGACCATAGAAGTGGTCCGGAAGCTTATAGCTCTTATACTGGACAGCTTTTAGTGCAAGAGAACTTACACTTTTGTAAAGCAAACAAAAGCTTACTACGTTGGTGGCCAAAGAGGTCTAAATGTGACATAGGTGGATTCATGTAGAGTTATAGATTTGTTGGCAAATGATGGTAGGTCTTTAAGTTGAGACAACCAACTTGCTATCATTCTAGAAAAGACACTATGGAAGGAGCTAAGATATCTTTTCCCTTGAAGCACACATATAGTTCAGCTGATTCTTCGGTCTCTTGAGTGATACCAGATTAATGTTGGATAAACTAACACTTCTTTCTCAAAGCAAAAGCTCATAGCTGACTTACGAAGTAAAATTTGGCTGTGGTGAACTTTTGTAGTGGCATTTTTAGATCCTTCTATATTTGTCAGACATGTGCCCATTATGAACAAATCCCCACCTCCTTCTGGGGTCTTCAAAGGGAGAAACTTAAGAACGCTGTAGACCATAGTGACAGTTCTCTCAGCTTGCATTTCTTTTATTCTTATGTCTCCTTATTTACAGGATGGGATGAAGGAGTACTGGGCATGCAATTGGGAGAAGTTGCTCGATTAACGGTAAATGCCTTCTCTTTTCTTTTGATTCTCAGTTGAAGTCAAATCAATCACGGAGTTAATTATGTTTGTGTTATCCATGTTATGAAGTTTAGACTCCCATTGAGTTATGGGTTTATAGTCAGAAAACTAAGAGTCAATTGGAAAATAAGGAGGTTGATATCTCCTAGTTATTTTACATTGTTGAGTTTTGATTTATTTTCACTTCACTGAAATGTCTCTATCCTTTTGGCTGACTGGCTTATAGGAAGACATTATGATGTTTTCTACAATTGACACTCTAAAGTGGATTGATGGTTTCAGATAACTCCCCCTAATTGTCGTTTTTCAATTTCTGCCTCGTATTACTGCCCATTTCATGGTCACATCATCTCCATCTTTTTGATGGGATTGGCTGCAAAGTTTATAATGGAATGGCGATGATACAATAATTGCATTCTTCCTAAGAGTATTAATCTTACTATAATTGTGTACATATATGAAAAAAGTTTCTAGGCTTTTATGTATTAAGATCTTCTATAAGGAGAGGTTTAAACTGATGTCTTCAATTTTGCAGTGCACCCCTGATTATGCTTATGGTGCTGGTGGATTTCCAGCATGGGGTATTCAGCCCAACTCAGTTCTGGTTTTTGAGATTGAAGTCCTAGGTGCACAATGAGCAATTTGCTAACATTTGGGCATTCCCGATGGAGCTGTTGTACACTATACAGTAGACAGCTTGAGGGTATCAGAACTGCTCATGTACTCTTTTGCTCTAATGCAACTTGTTGAAACAGATTAAGGCAATAATAAATGCTTTGAAGCTTTTGTCTGGATAATGGTCTTCTATGAGACTACTAATTTGCCTTGCAAGACAAATTAGTTAGTAATGAAATATAATATGGAATGGATGTAAGAGTTTGTATGGTCAACTCCAACTAATATGGGGTACTATTCTCCTTGTCGCATTCTATATGCTTGCCTATTGCCTTATGTATAATAGCCTAATGTTTCATCACAAAAATTGATAGCTTAAAAGAATTGGTGGAAACTCAATTTGACAAAACTAGGAGGAAACGATGGGAATGAGAATGTGAGTGTGATTGTCTTTGTGGTGTACCCTTGTGTCTTGCCCGTTATTCCCTTCTCCTGAAGGGTATGCTGGGTGGATCCCAGCTCTTATGCAGTGTTAAGAAACAAAGACCTGTAATTATCTGTGAGGCAACTCTTGATGTTCATGATAGTCTGAGGAATTTTCCAGTTTGTAGCTGGTGCTTGTCAACTTGATTGGCTTCTGTCAGGCAGTGTTTGATGACTATGTCATACTGTAATACCAGGTTCTTAATCACTGAATGTGTCATTTTGCAAGGAATGACAGCCTTCCCATTTATGAGCTATGATATATCTTATCCCTTTGCTGATGCACCATTCTAGTCCATGCGACATTGCCTGGAGCTTGAATGATCATATGAGCAATCTGGAATGACCTCATTACTTTGCTTTAGGCCACAAGTAGATGAGGTGATAATTTCAGAGATAGTGGTGTTTTTACGAGTCCAGCGGTGGAGTAATATTTGTCTTCATTGTATATCATGAAAACTTCGATTCCTAGTGTGGCATAGAAGAAGCCACACCATCTTAGATCCAGTTGATTGTGGCCAAAAAGGTGCACCATGAGGGTCTACCACATCAATCATTAGCTACCCACCTTATCATCAGTACCCCTCAATGGTTAGGGCTCTCCACAGTAAGATACTCATCTTGAAAGGAACTTTGTTGTTTGTTACATACTTTGTTTCTCAATTACCATTTAGAGATCAAATTGGTCTCTCTGGTAAGCCTTCAGTCATGTTAATTTGTTATTGTCTCACAACTCTACACATCTCTACTTCTGTGTCACTGCCAATTGTTACAATGTAAATAAATCAGCAACAAACTAACAAATCCCTTCAATTGATGCTAGTGGTTGCTTTGTGTCTTGAAAAGTGCAGACCTAAATTTACTCTTATGATTATCCATTATTTAAAAAATTACTTAATTATATGAAGTGGTTGTCGATTATTACTTATTGAATCTAATATAATATATAGCGAGTGGTTGAACCTGCTTTGGCTGAAAGTCTTATTTCACACCATGGTTTTAATCATTTTATTTTCTCTTTTGGAATCATGTGGAGTAGTAATTAAGCTTTTCAATTTACAATTATGCTTTCTGCTTAACTTTCTAATGATGTTTAATGGACCTTAAATACCCATTGCCTCCTAAAGTCACGGCCTGAGTCCTTAAAGCTAATCAATACTGGCATGATGATCCTCATAAATATCGAAGGCACAAGGGACTAAATTAAGTGTGCGTTTCATCATGTTTTATTGTCACAGCTTAAATTCACTTTTTTTTTCGTTGAATATAATCATTGCTAATAATTATACTTGATTGCAAAATCATCATTTTTGTTGATTTTGTTGCACGTTGATGTTTATAGTACTCAATTTGATCACTTTATGCGAGACAATTGGCCTGGTTTGAATCTTGAGTTCAAAATACTAGTGTTTCTTATACATTAAAATACAAGGATAATGGTAAAAAAGTATTTAAAACGTTACTCTCTTTTATTATTTGTTATTTCTTCTCAAAATAAATTTTTATTTTTATTTGTCACTTTTTTAAACATATAAACAAACAATCCCCTATTTTATTCTATGTTTTATTCCTAACATTCACGTTAATTTTCAAAACCGATCCTAGACATTGATTAGTAGGAACATGATAATATACTTATTATATCAATAATTGTTTTATTAATAGGTATTTCAACTCAAACGTGAAAAAAACAACAAGAAGAAAGGATACTATTGTATTTATGATTGTAATGAAGGGTAAAGCTGTCATTAGAACGTATATATAATGCTATCCTTTCCAAATTACATCACCTCTTCTTTCATCTGCTCTTCTTCTACTTTCAAACAATAATTACTTCACATTCTGCCTCTTCTCTCTCAATTACACTTGTCTTGAATCTCTTCATTGTAAGTTTCCGGATACCTTTTTTTTCCCTAGTTTAGACACTGTTTATGTTTCTTTAACATAATCTTGATAATTTAAATGATAAGCACTTTGATTTATCTGGTTTGGTGAAAGTTGTGTTCTTTGGGATATCTTTTTATCTAATCTTGGAGAACCCCTTATTATCAGTTTTTCATCTTTAGGTTTTCTTGATGTTATTTTTTTTTCTGAATTCTTGATTGTATCTCCATGTGTGTTTTTTCTTGGATGTTTGCATCACTTCTTTCATCTTTTCTTCTTATACCTGCTTACATTCTGCATCTGCTTCTCTCTCTCTGCATACTGCTTGCTGGTTTACATTTGTCTTGGATCTCTTCATTCTACGTTTTTCACTAGAATTTTTTACTTTGCACACTGTTTATGTTTCTTTACGTAATCTTGATACTTTAAATTATGAGGCTTTTGTTTATCTGGTTTGGTGACGGTTAGGATCTTTGGGAAATCTTTTTAATCTTATCTCTGAAAACCCCTTATTATCATTTTTTCATGTTTTTTCTGAATTCTTGATTTCAATCTCCCCGTGTTTGTGTGTTTTTGCCTCTTCAAAAGATTTTCAGAAGCATTTGCTTGATGGGGTTTCTTGGATGATTTGGCCTTCAACTTATGGTTTTAGTGTTGAGAACATCAGTTTTGTTTCTTTTTATTTATTTTATATTTATTGCAAAAGATATCTGGATTTAGTATGGGTTTTGGTGTTTAAGTTCATGAGAACTCATAGAGAGCTGTATAGTGTCCTGATATAGGAGCCTGATTTGATTTGGTTATTGATTTTGATTGATTTGTGCCTAGTGACTAAGTTACTCCACATCCCTTCAATTCCTTTAGCTTTTTTTTTGAATATTATTCATATGAAATGGAAGAAGAGATAGGTTTCAGCTACATTGTGTGGGTTAAAAACCATCACTGTCTAGTAATTTACACTTCTATTTTCTCTCAAGGATTTTGGTGATATTACATTGCAAACTGTTTAGTTGTTCTGGTTCATGACTCTGATACATATGTTGCCAAATCTTTCAGGTGCACTAACTTCCTATTGACAATATACCACAACTGTGAAAACTTCTGTTGTGTAAAGGAGTAACAATATGCGGTGGCTGAGTCTGTCAATTGATGTGCTTTGCTGTGTCATCCCCTTGAACTTGTATTGCAGGGTGATCCTTTAAGTCATTTCTCCGATTAAGCCAGATTTTTTTTGTCTCACCATTCTCTTCATCTGCCTATCAACTGTAACCAGTTAGTTTTGTCTTTTTTCTTGATAAATCTATAGGATTAGCTGAAAGATAGGCAACTGCTAATCAAATTAATCCTCGGAGTCCTGATTTTGATTTGTTTGCACTTTGTCATCCTGTGCTCATTATTGGTCTTTCAGATTGCTTTTCTCATACTGCAATTTCTTCAAGCTTCTCCTTTGTTGTAGTCTCCATTTTCCTCCAAAAGCTAGTTACCTATTACTCTTGGGCTTCAGAAATTGTCTTTGGCATAGATTTTGATTTCATTGGAAGGTTAAAAGTAGTTATGGTGTGCCAAGCCGCAAGCCAAACAAGATTTCGGGCCTCAAAGCATGAGAATGGAATCACGGGGAGAGCAACGATTAGAGTCAGGTTTATAGCATGCTTTCAACCATTGGAGAATTGCCAGGTTCGTTCTATATTATTGCCTCACTTATGGATAATTACTGTGATATTTAACTGTTCTACTCAGTTGTGGGCTTCTATGATGTAATTGAAAAGCTGCCAAACTAACAGTCTGTTTTTTTGCTTACCAGGCTGAATACTTCCGTCAGTTGTTGAAGCCTGTGACGTAGATGCTCTGAGTTCATACCTTTGTTTTAAATCCAGCTTTATAGTAATTTCTTGTTATTTGCGTCCTTAAAGTAATTTAAGGTGGAATTTGTACAATTCATATTACTGGTATGCATCTAGTCTTTCTGCTGCTATTTGTGTTAAACTTCTGTTGCTTTTTGTTATGGTTTTCCATCTAATTTCTTACATTATGCATGTTAGGTTTCTCTTTTGTCTAGATGGTTACGACCAGCGAGCTCCAATATTACCAGCAGGATCCTGCATGGACTTCACCAAATTTGAATTATGCCACTACACTCTTGCAACCTGGACATCACCTAGGCGTTCCATCTCTGTATACCCCTGCCATATGTGCTGCAAATGCAGTTTCTCCTAGGCGTTCATGCTTTATCCCTTGTTTGCCGAATTCCATGGAAGCATGTCACAATGGAGTCAATTGGCGGCCAAACTTAGTTCCCACCAAAAATGTGTATTCAAGTGATACTAAATGCTTTCTGCCTCACTTGATTGGGTTTAAGTCCCCACCAACTGATGCATCTACAAATCCTCAGAAGAGGTTTCTCATTTGTGATCAATCTGGAAATCAAACTAGATTTTTCTTTAGTCAAGGTCGTCCTGCTGAGGATGAAATTATTACACCGAAAGAAGTGTTTGGTGCTTATGGTTTGCATCAAAATGAGAACCTGAATGTTGTAGTTGAGCAAAGATTTCAAGTGAAGCCCGTTATTGGAGAGAAATCGGATGAAAGTTATGTTAATGGTGAAGAAAGTAATACGCTTGAAGATACAGATGAGATCAATGCGTTGCTTTTCTCTTCTGATGACATTGAAGGCGACGAAGATGATGATTTTTATGGTGAGGATGATGAAGTAACTAGCACAGATCGCTCTCCTTGTGCAAAACAGGGGTGCTGCGGCTGCGGTGAGCATGAGCAACAGTCTGTGGAACTTACAGAAGAAGTTGCCAGTTCTGATGGCACATGCAAAAGGCAAAGATTGCTAGATGGTGGGTACAAGAAATCATCATACATAGAATCTAGATGGCCCAATGA